GCCTAGGTCACAGCCCCATTAGAAGTGCTGACTTACGCCGGGCGGTGGTGGCGCACGCCTTTAATCCCAGCACTCGGGAGGCAGAGCCAGGCGGATCTCTGTGAGTTCGAGGCCAGCCTGGGCTACCAAGTGAGTTCCAGGAAAAGGCGCAAAGCTACACAGAGAAACCCTGTCTCGAAAAACCAAAAAAAAAAAAAAAACCAAAAAAACAAAAACCAGAAGTGCTGACTTACATAGATCTTGAGGAAAAGAGAAAGGAAAGGGATGAGAAGGAAAATGAGCTAAAGCTTGTTTAAAATATCTAAGTGCTAGTTGTTCAGTGTGTGTGTGTGTGTGTGTGTGTGTGTGTGTGTGTGTGTGTGTGTGTGTGTAAGGAATGGCCTATATTACGGCAGAAAAATGATCAGGCATGTGGGATAATGTGCTGGCTTTGGGAGACTATATAGTAATTCTCTGTAGTATCTTTGGGATTTTCCACAAGTCCGAAATTATTTCAAATCAAAAATTGAAAAATAGTTTGTTTTAAAGAAGAGGGGCAGGAGAGGACCAGACAGTTCTGCCTCCTGTCACAGAGGCCAAATGTCAGGTCCACAGCGATGGAGTGGCCTGAGGAAGTTGAATGTAGAGACTTCCGATGCAGGCTCTTAGGATCATGGCTGCTTTGGGGTCTGGCAAACAGTGTAAGCCTAAGTTGGGGGATGGTTATTTTCTTCTTAGCCTCATTGTCCTCTCTCCTCTCCTCTACTTATCTGACTTGGTTAGGAATTTGGTGTGTCAGCAGGCCGTGTTTTTCTACTTCTTCTGCCACATATGTGCATACGAGTAGCTGTAAATTCACTGGAATTATGAACTCCTAATGAAGACAGGAGAAAAATGGTCTGGCTTAAGTCAAGGAATGTAGGCTGAGGAAATCTCTCACTAGGGATGTTTTTAAGAATCGGGAACCTCCCTGGAAATAGAGCAAATGCCACAGAAAATGATTTACATATTTAAAAGCCACGCTGTACATTTGTTTTGTGTTTGGCTGACGGACTAGTATGTGTGGCTGACTTAACTGTCCTAGGGGACTAGAAGAAAAACATGATCTTCATCTCAACACATTTTATTTGTTATTTCTCAAGGGAAAGGAAGATCTTCCCAGCTGCAAAGAGACGGTAGGGTGGCCACCATGTTTGTGGACACAAGGAAAATGTAGGCTATGTGACCTCTGGTAGAATGACAAAAACTTGAGGGTGGCATCAGTTCCTAGTGCAGGACATAAAAGTGAGAGGAGAGTTGAAGGAAAGAAGAAGGACCTGAATCGCACAGGGGAGAGCCCTTGGCTAATGCAATCTGGCTTTTAGCAAGGAGTAATTTGAACAAAATGTGTTTCTTCTTAAACACATAGAATACATTCATTTATGTTATTTGACATTTATTTCCCTGAGAAACAGTGCTCCTTAGAAATGAAACAAAGCTTGATAGCATGTGTACGTGGCTCTCTTGCTACAAAGAAGATAGGAGAGGGATTACTCCATTGCCCCCGTTCCACTAGCTCTACTGCTCTGTGCTTTCCACCCGGTTACATGAACGGTGTTATGCTGAGCTGTGTTACACTGTGTGTCCTAATAGACTACTTTAACAAGGAGCAAAGACAGAGGAATGCATGTAGAACACTCACTTGGTGGCTCCTCGAAGCACACATTGTCCTTCTGGGTTTTGTCAAAAAAAGATTTTCTTTTTTCTTTTTTTTTTTTTAGGTCCTGTACGTTTTAATGTCAAATAATTTCCCCAAATTTGTTTGACTTCTATAAACTTAGCAGAGTATGATCAGTGCATGAATAAACAAACATAAAAGCTGATTTGATATTCAGTCTCTCCTTTACACATACACAGTCTCTGAATGCTGATTTATCTTTTTAAATTATGTGTCTCTGTGTGTGAATGAGCAGTGTGTGCGTGTGCTTGTGGAGCACAGAAGAGAGTTCAGATCCCCTGCAGCTGGAGTTACAGGAAGTTCTGAGGAGGCATGCATTGTAACAAAAGATTTTCAAAGGAAAGAAAACAGACCTGAATGATTACTGTGGCCTAGGTGTCTGTTTGGAGAGTAAATCGGCAAGTGAAGGAGAAATGAGATGGGGATAATTTAAAAGATCCAAAATAAGAACCTCAGCTGAGCAACTGAGAATGATGAGGTTTTTGGCAGGTATAGAAATACTTACCTTTTAGCTGCCTTGAAACTGTGAAGGGAGGATTGATTATATGAACGGAAACACATTCATGACAATGGAACGCTCTGCACTCTTTCCTAAGGATGTGTTTTGACATGGAAAGATACTTAAAAGACAACATTGAGTTTCTTCTACTTTTGAAGCAAATAATATATAGTACATAAAAGGAAAAAGTCCCCAAAGTACATAAACCAAATTGCTCACCATTTATGATGGATCGGGTAGTTCTGAGAATTACAGAAAAATTTATAGTTTAGATGGCCCATGCTTTGATATTCTTAAAAGAACATGTTAATTTTTTCTCAAGATAAAAGAAGTAAAGCCATCTGCACTTAGAAAAAGAAATGTTAACCATTTTCAAATCTAAACTTGTTTGTGCTGAAAGGAAAGAGATTTAGTTGTAGAGTAGAATTCTAAATTAGGCTAAATAGGAATAGGAAAGCTGGTCATCCATTAAGAGAGAAACAAGGGTCCTTGCAGAGCCAGGCTGTGCACACAAGAATGGGGCTATAGATTATCGGCATGTGTTTTCAACATCTACGAGGGACCTTCCACCTTCACAGTGTCCCACTTGAGTACCAGTGGCTGGACTCTCTTGATGTTTATTTCTGCGCCCACAACATGGACCAGTGACAGAGGTTCAGTTGCTGGTGGGGGACTAAATGGAGGAGGAAACGCGACAGCATTCCTTTCAGATGGCTTAGAGTCATTCTCATACAATCTCAGGAAAAGCCAGAAGTAGTGGCATGTGTTTGAAATGCTAGCACTGGGGAGACAGGCACACAGATCCCAGCGACTTGCTGGCAAGCCACCCACGTCTTATCTGGGAGCCCTGGGTCCCAGAGAGAGACCCAGTCTCAACACGGTGGATGGCTCCTGAGGAAGGACACCGAAGTTGACCTCTGGCTTCCACGTGTATGTGCACACAGAAATTTATAACAACCTAAAACTGGCATAGGAGAAGGAAAAGGTCTTTCCTGGCCCGACTATGTTTATTTGGCCATCATTCAAATTCTCTTAGTGACTCAGTTTATATTGAAGTTTGCCAGTTCATTTCCCTTTTGTGCCACTATTGTGTTTCAGCCCATTTACCATCATAACCACACCCTTGGGGGCTATTTGCCCTCCCTGTTCCCTGTTTCACTTTACATCACCATATTGCCAACTCCCCAACGAACTCCAGCCTGATGCGCACCATCCACTCATGAATGCCATTTCTTAATCTTTCCATGGAATGAATATGGAGTGATAGTCTCATCTATTCTGACTTTGCCATTTCTGGCTCCATTTCTCTCAGTGGGAACACAGCATCTCTTCTGAGCCGTGGGTACAATGCATAAATATCTATGGAAACTAGTTGCTCCTGCTGAGCATGTGGAGGATGGGCTCTTACTGATTCTCTGCTGTTAGCTCTACAGGTCACAGTATCCTTTTCTTTGAAACTTGTATGGACAGTTCCGGGGAGCTCACAGGCCATCTGAAACCTGTCAATCACTAAAGATTTTAGATTCCTCATATGTAGGGAGTGAGTGAAGTCCTGAGTACATGTGTGTTGTTGACATGAGCACAGCCATGTCAAGGACTCCAGTGCCTCAGCATGGGAGTGGCAGAGCCTTCCTTGGGTGAGGCTCAGAGAGATGGCAAAACTTTTCTCTGTTTCAAGTGCACATGTTAAGAGTTTGTGCAGAAAATGTCCGGCATAGCTTCCATCTCCCCTTGGGTTGTTTTCAACCTGAAGACTGCTTCCCTACAGGACTGCTCCTCCTGAGATTAGTCAATGCTGCCTCCTTGTCCAGCTATATGTCATAACTTCTGGCTCCTTGTTCAGCTGTATGCAATAGCAATGCTTCCCTATTCAACTATATATAACACATAACACACACGCAACTGTATATATAGTATGCAGCTTCTCTGTGTCCCTCCCCACTCGTGTGTGTGTGTGTGTGTGTGTGTGTGTGTGTGTGTGTGTGTGTGTGTGTTCATTCTGTTGATACCCCAGTTAGGTCAATCTCTAGAGCCCTCCAGGATGTGGCACCTGTTACTCATGTGTGCACTCTTTTAGGATAGAAAAAGAAATGTAAGGAATGTGTTCACTGGGAACTAGAACTCAACTAAATACAAAAATGGCCCTTGGTATCATTATTCACACTTTGGCCTACTTGGAAGCACAGCAAATTGAACATGAAGCAAGACTGGAATGCTATAGCATATAGCATGGTAACAGAGTTATAAGAAACAATCTGTGGGCTGGCAGGTGGCTCAGAGGTTCAGAGTGCTTATTGCTGTATTGGAGGACTATAGTTCGGGTTCCAGCATCCAGTTCACAAATGCCTGTAACTCCAGCTCCAGGAGATCTGATGTCCTCCTCTGACCTTTGTGGGTACCCACCTCATACACACAAATGAAAATAAAATAATTTGTTAATACAAATTTTGGCAAATAGATATATTGCCAAAGTGAACTGTAGAGTGCCTACTTTGGGTGTCCCTTAAATAACAAGGACTCTAAGTCCTTTAGGTATAGAAGTATGTTTGTTTGTGCATGCTTGTGTGCATGTGTGTGAGAGAGAGGAGAAATATGCAAATATGTAATAGGTTAAAAATAGCTCACAGAACTAAAATCTTAAAATATATATCTAAAAGAAAATAAAATATTTCATCCTCAACTTTTCTTTTGTTATTGTTATCTATATTTATATCATATATAATATAATCAAAATGCGTACACAATAAATATGTATAAATTGATATTATGCATATTAATATCGTAATGTCTCTGGTCCTTTTCCAGGGTGGACAAGCTTCATTTACACCATCTCTGGAGATGTATATATTGGTGAGTAAAGGGTAGGCCACTTGGGGTTCAATTGCAGTTTAATTCAAACTACCAAGAGGATAATCTGTGGATTCTATTGTATGTAATTGAGTACTGTGCCTCCTTCCTTCCCACACCAATCTGGAGCAGCATGCGTTACAGCTTCCGGAATGTTCAGTGACAGAGGTCAACATGAACAAAAGACCCAGGTGAAAGGCACAGACATGATTATGTGTGTTAAATCTGAGGGGTTAGCAGTTTCCATGCGCAGAAAGAGATTGAGCTCCAGTGAGAGCAGCAGTCTGACTAACCCTCTGGAGGTAGAAGAAAACAGGTTAGATATTCCAGGTATCTCCCAATTTCTTTTCCTTCCAAGGGTTATGTGTTGTTGCTTGTTGAGAAATGCATATTTGAGAACAAACCAACTCTCATTTATACATGAGCAGTGGGATATCTAAAAGAAGTTATTTATGCCAAGTTTTCACATCTGTACACCCAAGACAAGAACTGAGTTATGATGGTGCGAAAGAGAACAGCCCCCATAAGCTGTCATTTGAATTCTGGGTCCCCAGTTGGTGGTGCTATTTGTGGATGTCTAGGAGGTGTGGCCTTGCGGAGGAAGTGTGTCACCGGCAGTAGGCTTTGAGAGTTTAAAGATTCCTGCCATTGCTAGTTCTTACATTGTGCTTCCTGCTCACTGTTCAAGTTACATGCTCTCACCTTCCAGGCTCAGTCACCTTGCTTTGCCTGCTGCAGTATTCTCCTACCAGGACAGAGTCTTTTTCTTTTTTATGAAACATAAATATTTGTAACAAAGGAGTTTGGGTGCAGTGTTGAAAATCTACAGCTTCTTGTTAAATGCACATTTGCACTTCACCTTTTTAAACAAACATTTATAATCATTATTTTATACAGATATATGTAAATACAACATCGAGTTCAGTGGTCCTTCAGCATTTTCCACTTAATTTTTTTTGTCTTATCCCTAAGGAACCATAAGCAAAATAAACACTTCCTTCTATTAGTTTCTCTTGTCATGTTTTTTTTTTCAAATCACAGCAATAGAAAAGTAACTAATACACAATTGTTTCTCAATCCCAGTCTCCATGTCCTAAGTAGAATGTTCAGTTACAATGTAGAGTTCAAGCCAGCTTGTGTTTTCAAACCTAGCCAATATGGTAGCAGAAGAGGCAGAACCCAGATGATAGGAGAAGGACATGCAGAGCAGGTTGCCTCTGCTTGTGTCCACCCCAACAATTCCCATCTTCCTGGAAGCAGGAAAGAGCTCTTTGTGGGGATGGCAGCAAATGACTGGGTGATAGTATGTGCTGTGAATGCCCCACCAAAATCCCACAAGGCCTTGCTTCCTCAGAACCTGTTGACTGACTTCCAACCGCCATTATCTATGCCATCTTTTCTGAAACTTGGAAAGACTGCTCTGCCCCAATCAGGAAGGACAAAAGCTCTGGAGAATTAACATTCTGGAAGTTTGCTGACCCCTCAGGTAGGCTATCTCAGAGCCCATGCCTGAGTTTCCCATTGCAGTTCTGTTTCAAGTCTTTTCACAGTGGGAGTGTATGATCAGATACCTGTCCTTCCTTGCTATAGTGGTTTGAATGAGAATGGCCCCCACAGGCTCCTATGTTTGAATACTTGGTCCCCAATTGGTGGAACTGTTCAGGAGGATTTAGGAGTCATGGCTTTTGTTGGAGGAGATGTGTCACTGGGGGGGGGCGGGGCGGTGAGCTTTGAGGTTCAAAAGACTCATGCCATTCCCAGTATACCTTCTCTACCTTCTGCTTGTGGATCATGATGTGAACTCTCAGCTGTTCTTACCACCATGCCTTTGCTCCACCATCATGGACTCTGACCCTCTGAAACCATAAGCCCCATCAAACAACTTCTTTTATAAGTTGCCTTAGTCACAGCAGTAGAAAGGTAACTACTGCACGTCCTTTTCCTGAATAATTCTACTCATATCCGGACTGCTGTTCCCTGGTGCATCATCTCCTGAATCAGCTCCTTACACAAGAATATTCATTGGAACTGTGCTTCAGAAAGAAGCTACAGTAAGAGAACCAGTCACTGGCTTCCCCCTCCTCATCTCCGTCCACAGTGATGGAGGCCAAGATTCCCCATTTCTGAGACCTGCTCTCTACCACACTCCTGTGTGCGATGCCAGCAGAGAACTTCCTCCTTGGGCAATGCATTCTCCATTTGTAGTGAACATCTTCATTGGACAATATCTTCTCAAGGGAGAGACAGATGGCTTGCTAATGACATCTGCACAGGCTGTGGTGCCATATCCAGGGTAATTTATTGAAACCATTCTTTGTACTCTCCAAAAATATGGTTTTCAATCGCTTGACACTTCTGGAAATAACAGTAATTAGAATTTATTCCTAATGTGGCGTGATTGGGCTTGGTTCCTGTTTCATAAATAGCATTTTAATTATAAGCCCCAAACAAAATTCACTTCTTTTATCATTCGAGAGAGTAAAGATTCAAGTTGTAAAAAAACAAGCAAACAAACAAAAACCTCCAGCAGATGTACAGTAAGCTCCTGAGTGTACACAATGAAGTGTACTAACCACCTGGGAGGAATGAGGCACATGAACATTTTGATAGTCTGAGAATCATATAGCACTTTATAAAAATAGAAAAAAATCTGTTTTGGAGGTCTCACCTTGACATGATTTTAAGATAAAAAGTAATTTGCACAAATGGAATATAATAAAGAAAGGGCATTAATTTTAAGGTGTTGAGGATTCTAGGAATGTTTATGTAGAATAAGAAAAGGTAATGGGGACCAAACTTTATGAAAAGGGCCAGAGAGCAAATATTTTTATCTCTGGGACTACTATGCCCTGCCCATGTAGTATAAAAACAGCCGTGGACAGTGCATAAATAAATGGGGTACATATTGTAATCCAAGTTTTTGTGAACTTCATGTATTTTTCATGTATCCTGAATGACTATTTTTAATTCTTTGCAGTTTTTTTCTTAAGGTGAAGATCGTTCTTAGCGTCTTGACTCTGCAAAAGTCCACACATGATTTTGTCTTATATGGCATTAAAGAGAGGATGAATGGTAGAAAGATCAACAAATAATCTGCCAAGCCTCTTTTAACCAGTAATTACAGCCTCTTTTAACCAGACAGACCTGTAGTCTCAGGAGTCAATAAATAAAGAGCTGAGAAATTCCAGGCTAAGAAGGACCTGCACTTCCACTTGTTTCTTCTGGACATGAGGTCACATTGTCCTGAGTCATTTCTTCTCCCTGGCTTATTCCCCCCACACACCCATGACCATGGGCCATGTGTACAAAACATCTGGCAGAAGATGGAGTTATGGTCTCTAGCCTCTAAGTGAAGTTATGTGTGTCCAAAGTAAACTGGACCATGGACAGAATCCAGCTCCCCAAACCGGCCTCTTAGGACTCTGCTTCAACCGATGAGCAAGAGGCCAAATGACATCATTTGAATCCAGTCTCCTGGCTGTGCTCCTCTCTACCCCTTCGTGGTGTTGCTAATGAGAAAAACAAAAGGGCAGCAACACATCACCACAGGGAAAAAAATGACCCAACAGAAATAGCTGTTAAAAATGTTCTCACAAGTTTAGAAAGAGAAGCCAGAAAATGCTTCCCAATATTAGTACCTCATTTTTATCTTGCCTATAAACACGAATGGCACCCCTCACCCACCCCCAGATGGCAGGAACTGATAGTCATTCTCTTTTACACAATGTCAAACATCGTTGTTCAGTTAATGAAACATCGACATATGTAGGTAGTGTGTTGGGCTAGAATAGGCCACAGTTTGGATAGCAAAAGTAATCCTGGAAGACTGCATAAAATAAAACTTTAAGGGTGCTATTAATTTGGGAACAAAGCAAGGGGGTTGGAAGAGAAGGGTTAGAGTATGGAGTTATGAGGGAAATATATTCTAAGTACATTATATACTTGCTTGGAATGGCCTTATGCAACCCAGTATGATAAGATCTCTAAAAATGTGTATGTTGTATTGTGTGTGCAGTATGCTACAAGTGGTGTAAGTATTTGTTAGTGTGGATGTGTGTACATGTGTGTAGGTTCACATGGAGGTCAGCATCAAGTTGCCTCCTCAGTTACCCTCCCACACCCACTTTATTTTTTATGACAGAGTTTCTCATTGAACCTGAACTTCACAGTTTCAGCTACGCTGGCTCGTCAGTGAGCTCTTGAGATTCTCAGCCTCTGGCTTCTTCTTCTTCATCACCATCCTCAGTGATTAGTGGTGTGGATGGGGCTGGGCATCCCAAGGCATAGGCCAAGTATTCCCATTTCAAATCCTCAGAACCCACACAAAAAGCCAAACATGGGTATATGTGCCTGTGACCCCAGTGTTAGGTAGAGGAGCAGAAAGGATCAGTGGGGGCTTGTTGGCCATCAGCCTACCTCCAGACTCAGGGAGAGACCCTGTCTCAAGAGAATAATGTAGAGAATAATAGATAATATGTAAATTAATAGAATAAATTAAAAATCTAAGACTAAGTAAAATTATTTGTAAAATTAAATTGCTGGAGAAAATATGACAGAGAACAGTAAAAGATTAGTGAAACTAATAATCTAGAAGGATTTAGGTAGTGCCTTATGGGTAGTCATTTAAAAAAAAGACAGGAGGTAGAAGAGATGAATCAGTAGGCAAAGTGCTTACTGTTCAAGAATGATGATCTGGGGACAAATAGCCAAACTAGCGGAAACGCATGAACTGTGAACCAATAGCTGAGGAGCCCCCATGGAACTGGATCAGGCCCTCTGGATAAGTGAGACAGTTGATTAGCTTGAACTGTTTGGGAGGCCTCCAGGCAGTGGGACTGGGACCTGTCCTTGCTACATGAGCTGGCTTTTTGGAACCTGGGGCCTATGCAGGGACACTTTGCTCAGCCTTGGTGCAGGGAGGAGGGGACTGGACCTGCCTCAACTGAATCTACTAGGCTGGACTGACTCCCCATGGGAAGCCTTGCCTTGGAGGAGGTGGGAAT